CCTACAGGTACATCTATTTGCAGCATTAACTTATTACTTAAGTATTGATGCCAGCACGAAACTTGCATTTAGTAGTCTCTTATACAGATGTTTGTCTGAATATTTGTTAGAGAAAATATTCAAAAGTCATTATTGAGGTTTATCCAGGAAAAAGAAAATGTTCTCACTTCTCTGAACTATTACATACAATGTTGAAGATTTGCCAACAGGTTGTCATGCTGTTTCATAGGAAGGTTTTCAATTCAGATCTTGCATACATTGAAGTGAAAAGCAGTGATATCAGTTATTTCATTCCACTTGTCCATGCTTTCCATACATCCTGCATTCAAAAGATCCATAATGGAAAAAGAGATCTGTTTCATATAGATTGATATTTGAAATAGAACAGTATTCCCCTACCTTGCACAAGGACTCTCATCCTAAATGCTGTACTAATCAATGATGCCTATGAATGTACATTAGCAATGATTCAAGCAGAAACTAAATGCAAAATAAATCTCAACATTATCTAAACTGTACTATCAATTGCAGAAATAGCAATTTCTTGCCTAGGTGCTAATCTCAATCCTCTTGAAGACAAAACCACACAAAAAAGAAAGTTTAGTTAATAATGCTAAATATCCATGTAAATTTTACTTCAGCAGAATACACAATTCTTAAAACAAGACCACTGTACCCTTCATTTAATACATCTGACTGATAGTACCAAGGCTTTGAGGTGATACTGATCTAAAGCAGATCAAATTCCTTCCCAAGAACACTCAGCAGCTTCTTTTTCCAAAAATTCCACACAAGAAGTTAACAGGTCTCTTCCTTAAAGCAAGGACACAACCTCCACTTGTAGAAAGCTTCAAAGTCCCCACAAAGCTACCCAGAAATTTACCTATTTAGTTAAGGTAATTGTTTCAAAGTGTCAAAACTACAAAGTCAGTTAAAAATTGTATCTTGGTATAAATTCATCTTTAAGAATTCTGTATTGGTAAACATAGTGTTTATCTATGAAGATTTCTTTATAAAAGGAACCCCAAACATTGCTATTAGGTTTTTCAAAAATATTTCATAAAAAGGACACATCTGATGAACTTGTGATTGAAGAGAAGCAGTTTCAAATTTAAGTAGAATGCTTTTTAGTGGTTTTGAGGTTAGTCTTTGCCTTCAAAATGTGAACACACCTTTTCTAGATCATGTTCTGAAAAGTAATTTCTTTATTTGTGCATTTCCCTGTCCTCACCTCCTCACATGGCATTACCACAAGCTTGAAATTTAACAGACTCTTCTCAGCAGCTACTCAGATTACAAAGCAGTCTCAGACAAATAACAATAAAGCATGACCTCTGCAAGTTGATTTTCAAAATCCAAAACTGCAGCACATTAAAAATAAGGATTTTCGTAGCTCCTTGAGGATCACAAAAAAGTTCAGTTTCCTGAAAAAAACTGACACAAAATTAAAACACCAAGGCATGAATCCATTTACAGGAGTGATGGAAATACCCAGATAACTTGTTTACAAAATTTTCCCCAAACACCAAAATGTTTGTTCCCAAACAGTTTAATAGATAAGCCAAAAATATTCTCCTGTTACAACGAATTGCTTGGATAAATGAAAGACACATTACTATTAAATATTAACATAGTAATTACTGTATGAAAATGAGGTAATACACCTTTTCCCCCCCGCTGCACACGAATGTCTCAATCAGTTACTAGTTCTCCTATTACTGAAAGGGGGCTATACCACATACACTGACACATCTCTGAAATTAAAAAAAAAAAAAAAAAAAAAAAAAAAAAAAAAAAAAAAATTAAAATTGGGGTATATAGAAACAGACCTATGGCAAATTAATATTGTTCAAAGGTTTCTGTGGACAGAACAGCAGTCTTTACATCACCAAAAAAACTTACTACATCTGTAATCTGTAATGTACTACAGGTTATTGTAGGGACTTTTCAGGCAGCCCACACAAACAGGTTTTCGTTCCATTAACTAAACCATTGCAATTACAAGTACCCTGGCTTATGGCAAGGATATCCATCCATGTGACAGCTCTCATAGCTTTTCCCCCAGGAACTATCTCACTGATATTCTCCAAGCTGTTCACAACTACTTCAGGGGGAAAATCATTTGTCTAGTACTGTCACTACAGACAATAATCCAAGTAGGAAGAAAACTACTTCCTTTGGGAAGTATGCATGTTGGCATGAGTAATTCAACAGTTTTAAGTATAATAATTTATTACAATGCTAAAACATATACGTAGACACATTAATTGACCTTTATTATCAATAGCACCTCTGTCTGCCCAGTACCACTAGGATACAATCTTTGAGATATTCCTTGTTTTATGCTAGTGTGAATTTAGCCAGGTATCTGTGTTCCAAATGGCAGATGGATGCTTCCAGTCAGAATATAAATAGTAGAGGAAATACAAAAGAAGCTGCAGATCTCACTAAGGGATGGCAAATGTAAAGCAGAAGAAACAGCAAAGCCCTTTCACATTGATACAGCTAGCAAAAACCTTTAAAGGTTACATAAAATCAATGCCACAAACACACTGAAAAGTATTATTGCAATATACACTGCCTAGCTTTAATTTCAAGCAGCCTGTTGTTAGGGTCACAACAACCTCAAATTTGTTCATAATATACTGTCATTCACCTCTCCCTCAGATCTGGGGTGTGATGGTATTTTGGTAAATAGACAAACTGAGGTTTAAGATAAACTAAGATGAAATGAGCTGTTTTCAACAGTGTAAAAATCATTCTGATACATTAACCTATTAGTGAAAGTATAAACCATTTAATTTCTGAAGATGTGAAACAGCTTTTTTAGATAACACAAGTAACAGGGTTATGTAAAATCTTACCATTCTACTTCAACAGTTTCCATCTCATTAATTCCTGCACAAATAAGATAGAAGCTGATAGATAACATAGATGTTGATAATTAACAGCAGTCTACTAGGCATGCTGACCAAGCAGGCATGCTTTTCTTACTTAGCCTTATCAAATACAGGTAGAGATTTCCTACAATAGTCTGTTAATTGCACCAAATTTCAGTTCTACAGCAAGCTCCTTTAACCTTTAGAATTGAGAGCCCACCTCCTTCTAGCAGGTAACTTACAAACCTGAGTTCTCAACACCACCTCAATCCCTACCTCATTTGATATCTGATCGATGATGTGCATATGAAATCACTGAAACCAAAATGGAAGTACCACAAAAACCAAACTGGGCAGATCTTATAGAAAGTTTTTATATTTTTGTTAAATAAACTGCAATACCAAGGGCACAGATGCTAGGCTCTTAAAGTTTCCCCATGACTGGTAACATGTCCTTCTGCTCACGTGATAGCAGAAATTAAGCTTCCCTGATAAACCTTCATTAAGCCAGAGGATTTACTCCAGTTCCTCAGCAGATGTTTTCACACTTCCAACTGCGAGCAGGGGACACACAGCTTTGATTTCAGGACAGGAAAAACAGTGCCTACTGGAGTGCTCTTCCATGCACAGTCCCTGGAGCTACAAAGATGAAGCCCATTGGCAGGGGGAGGGCAGTGAATGAAGATTAGGGAGGACATGGTGACCCTCCATCAACCCTCATGGCATTTCTTCCCTTTGAGTCAGAGTAACTTCTGTTTCTGAGGCTGGTCTACTCAAAATTGTTTAAAGACTGCTAGGTTCAAGGCTACAAACCACTAATTAATCCACTCCCTAAATACCAGTAACTTCAAGTATGTGAAAAATAAATAACCTTCCTAAAGAAACCTATGCAGACATAACTAACCAACAATAATAAATACATGAGATTTTTCTACCTTATCTGTGGCATTTACAGTCAAAGACAAACTCCACTGAAAAAAGATAATCAGCCAATCTCACAACAGTAACAACTTACCAGGCACCTTCCTCCTAGCCGATGCTTGAAAATGTGTTTCCATCTACTGCTTCTGTATTTACATAATAGTTTTTCTTCTTATCCTAGTAAAAAATTTCTATCCCTCTGAGCTAGTTTCTCACCCGCAAACACAGACCAAACAGAAAATCATGAAGTTTTCAAATTTCCAAATTACAACAGTTGCAAGAAACAAAAAGCAGGTACCATAACATAATAGTGAAGCTCATTTTCTATTAAAAATAACACTCTGTCAACAGAAGTATTTTTTTTATTTTCAAGTGTTCAAATTGTTATTACACATATACCATTTAACTGTTTTTTATTTGAACATTAAGGTATTACAGTTGAAGGGCTCATATTTCCAGTGGCCTCTCTGCTTTGGACATCACCAGAGCAAAACAGGAAACATTCCACATGGCTGACAATAAGACATTTGAGTTACCAGATTTACAATCATCAATCTCATTTTACTAACGAATCACATACATACATAGCCAGGGCCATTTTCTTTAGAAGAAATAGCAAAATTAGTACTGCATTTGTTTATTTTCAATATGAGCATTTCTACATATGAGCAACATGGTACATGACAGTTTGATTATCACACACACAGCTCTGTGATGTGGTTTTTTTTTTCCCCCTAGGCTCCAAAGTAGGCCTAACTAATAAAACATATTGCTAATATGCCCTGCATAAACACTATGAATCAGATCTTTTGTCACCTAAATGGCAAAGGGAGCAGTGCTTTTATCTCACATTAGACAGCCTTGTCATACATGCACAATTTTCTTCTATGGACACTTCTACACATACCCTAGCTAACATTGTCTGCAAAAAATAATCTTTATTCAAGAAAGATTTGAATTTTCTTCTCAAATTAGAGAAGCTACAGATGATTACATGAAAAATCACTAGCATTTATTTAAAAATAATACTGAATGTGTCACACTTATTGAGGTTACTTGCATATTACCATCTTAAAAGCACATCAGTCATCTGATTAAGTCATCCCATTTTGAATTCATCCATGAAACTGATTTGTCTCTTTTGATACTACTAAGTCATAGTTCATGTCTAACAAATACTAATTTCTTTGAATTTCTCTGCCATCAATTTCCACACAAAAACTAATCGCTATATTAAAACCTTTCCAGTTACTCTCCCTAAATGAATGATTTTAATTTCCCATCCTCCTGAACATAATTCACCTACTAGAACAGCAATCTAAGTGAGGCAATCTTCCCTCTAACATAACCATGCACTTTTAAGTAGCCACTTCAAAGATCTGAGGTAAAACACATGAAATCTGCTGCAAAATTTCAGACTTAAAGGAATAAAATCCTATTATATAGATTGCAATAAAAAACGCCTAGAACCTGTCTACAGTGATCTGAAGCAATTTATTTCATTCACTCATCTGTGAAATTTTAGCAGCTATTTCATATTTATTGTATTTGGTCCAAATAGCCCTATATGTTGTTAATAGTCACTCAAAAAAGAATGCTGTGCCCAAAACTACATCTGCTACTACAAACATCTCTTCACCCTTTTATTCACCCTGCAATTAAGCAGTTCTTAAATACTTATGATTTCTTGAGCCATACAAAAACAGATCTTAATTTTATTTGTAATATGTCAACAATGGTATAAGTTAAAAAGCAAGTGAAGATATGTGACATTTTAACTAAACAGCATGCACTTGATTTGATGAAGTCTCTCTTCCTCAGCCTTTAATACCTATTCGCATTATGAACTCTGCAGCACATAGACAGAATATGGCACTTGCAGACATGATTGTAATATAAACTATATCAAAATGTTCTGTAACTAAATAAGTAAATCTTGTTTATGTATACAAAATTTAGAGACTACATTATCATTAAATGGGAAAATTACACTAATTAAGTTGGACATTCACTAGTCTTGAAATGTCCTTTTTCATAAAGTTTTTTTATCTTCTTGCTTTGCTTAATTATTTCAGAAAACGAACTCCTCCAATTCTGCTTCCATTTCTTCACTGCAGTTATTTTTTGCCAGCAAACTTCTATCTTGCACCATTAACTTCCATCCTGGTGTGCCCTTTTTTGCATCTCCGAGTTATCCATCACATTCTCGCTCTTCTCCTTCCCATTGTTTGTGACTCAGAATCCCTTCCTCTAGGGCAGCATCTTGTGTAACAGAGCTTCCACGGGGCAGAGGCTTTTCTGTCCAGGAGGTAGCAGGGCTGACCAGCCAAGCTCGCTGGGTCATGGTCCACCATGTACTGGGTAAGCTCCCTGTGCGCACTAAGCGCCTTCTGCACAAAGATAAACCAGCTGTGCACATGTGAGCCACAGAAAGCAACCTGAGTTCGGTGGCCTGGGCAGGCAGCAGGGACAGGGCAGAAACATGAGACAGACATTTTGGCTGCAGCAGTTTTAACCCTGTTTTGATTGTTTAACCTGTGTTATAGTCTAACTTAAGCATCATTGTTTGTGCAATACTTTCAAATGAACAAAAACCCTACAGCCAGATAAACCACACCTTTTCTATGGAATAACTGATTAGTATGTATTCCAGAATGAATTTAATGCAAACCTTGAAGAGTGTACTAATAACCACATTTGGAGCTTTTAAATACTGAATTATTCTGAGGTATATGTCTATTACTGTTCAAGTTTATGCTTCACATCTAAAGACCAAGAAAGAAGGCTACCTGTATTTTCTAGGTCAAGCAAGCTATAGAAAAATGGGAAGAGAGAGCATGTGTCCTGTGTTCAAGTGTTATTGTTTAGCATAATCCTTCATGCAAGTAATGCAGAAAAAGCTATATATTAAAGACTGTTTACATCTGATTAAAAGGGTAAATTAGCAAATACAGTATTGAAAATTATCTACAAAAATCTGTTTTTCCAAGTATTCACTGTTTGTATCGTCTTAAAGCAGAAAGCTGCAGGGCAATACCAAAGAAAATGGAATAAAAGAAAAAATGCAACTGGGACATTTTAAGAAATCCCCTCAGAAAACAAATTCATATTAACTGTAAACTAAACTGAAATTAAAACAATGACTAAAGCTATTAGGTGGCCTTATCAGCAAACACCTTCAATCAAAAGGCCATAAACAAGTATGCTTTACATATTACTTGATTTGTTTATTTAACACCATGGGGTGAAAGCAACACAATTCTTTTTAGTAAAGTATACACAAATAGCCTCACTCAGAATACACTTTTAATGCACATAAAAAAAGTATTCATCTTACAAATTGTTTTGCAATCCAAATATACAATAGCTTGGAAAACAATATTTTAGAAAACTAAAGCCAATGTAAAAAGACTGCTTAATACAACTAAATGATAAAAGTTTTTGTATGGCTCTGCCTTTAGAGTTTTCTTACTGCATCATCAATATCAGAAATCTGTTCCTTCAGCTGGTTCCACTGTTCTGGATTTAAAGAAATACCTGAAAAGCATTAAAAATAGACACTTAAGACAAAAAAAATTGTGGTGCAGGATCTTCTGCAATTATTATAAAGGCTGCTTTCATACACAACGCCTATGTTATAATATCAATACTTGAGTTACTTCAACAACTGTCTTAGTTACAAAGTGAAACTACACACTTCCAACACTTCAACTTAACCTGAAGTTATCTCTAGGTAACTAACCTGAAGTTATCTCTAGACACATTTACAAAGAAAATGTGTGTAACAAATAATTTTACAAGTACTAGGCTAAACACAAGAAGTGAAATACAACTCTGGCCTTGACAGAAGGCAGTACAAAAGCCCTGGCTGATAAGTAGGAAATCATTTGTACTCCTGTTCGTTCCTAAAAGCTGTACCTATGAAGACAGGTCTGCTGTGCACTTCTCAAGTACCTTAATTCTGGCTTTTCCCACTTTTTTTTTCTTAAAGCACTGTAAATAACAGATGCTGAAAGTAACATTTGGAGACACTCTGTCACTCACTAGCACTCACAAACCAACAGCAAAGTTACTTTTTACTTCAAGTTCTCTATAGTCTCTAGTGACATTCAACCAATAATCATTCAGTACCCCACAACCCATCATTTCACTTCTAAATTTGATCTCAACTTCCTCTCAAGCTTGCGTACAGGCATGTTTCATTTGAACTTTGGTCTACACACTCTTACCCTAAAATTTCTACACCCACTCTGTGGAAAGTGCAGGCTCCCAGTCCTCTCATACTTTCTCCTATCAAGCTCTTCCACTAATTACTCCCACTCTCCCCTCCGAGTGATACTTCTCCTTCACTGCTCTCTCCCTGAAGGTGAAGCAAGACCTGAAAACAGCTGAAACTTTGAATTTTTGGAGAACATTTCTCGAGACTACAGCATTTTCTTTTCTATACCATCACTGTCTTATCAGAGCACCACCACAACTTTAAGCAGCAAGTAGTGTACATGGAGGTTCTCCAAGCAGTCTTTCACCAGCCTTTGGAGGGCAAGTTTCATCTGTAAACAGGTCAGGTCTGCTAACGATTATTAGGGGACTTAAATGTCATGAAGACGTCCCTCAACCACAGACCAAATGAACCAAACAAAATTCAGACCTGCTGCTTGAGACATGCCAGGTTTATTTTTATTATAAAATTTTGACTGCTTATTATACTGGTTTCAGGGTAGCTAGATGAGCAGCCTGTGAGTGCATCAAGGAAGTATTAGACTCACAGTGTATCAGACTTGACTTTATCATAACAAAATTAAGACTCTTTTGCTGCATTGATTAACAATTCTATCTACATCATGTCATTTTTGTCACTTGGCCTTCCTATCAAATCCTGTCGTAGTTTGCCATTCAAAGTGCATATACTATTGCATTCTACCCTAAAACACACAACATAAAGTCCTTAGAAGTAACCTTTTCCATCAACTAGCAACAAATCAAAAAACAGCAATTCTCCTGTTGAGCATCAGTATACCTCTTCATGCAAACCTCTTCTCAGTGGTTATTCAAGAAATGCTGAAAATGCTTCTCAGATTTTCTAAATGACTGTTTACTGAATTGCTCCTGAAGACACCGAAAGAATGTAACAAACTATGGTGATTATAGATTACATTTCTTCAAACTTAGGAGACTGCCAGTACATGAGGCTGGGGAAGAACTTTTTGCAACAGCATGTATTGACAAGACAGGGAGGAATGACTTTAAACTGGAAGTGGGTAGATTTAGATTGGGAATCAGGAAGAAATTCTTTACAGTGTGATGATGCACTAGCAAAGGTTGCCCAGAGAAGCTGCAAATGTCCCACCCCTGGAAGTCTGGAAGCACTCAAGGCCAGGCTGGATAAGGCTCTGAGCAACCTGGTCTAGTGGAAGGTGTCCCGCCCACAGTAGGGTTGAACAAGATGATCTTCAAGGTCCCTTCCAACCCAAACCATTCTGTGGTCCTAAGAATCTGCAGGGCAGAACGTTTTATACATACATTTCACTGATGCTATACAAAAATGGATAAATTTAGGCTTTTCAAAGAGAAGCAACATAACATTAAGCATAGCACCACTACCGCAACTGTCCTACAATCCTCATCTTGAGATGTGCATGTTCTGGAAATGGTTCAGAGTGAAGCCTTGCCATGAAAAGCAACTGTGCAAGTATCAGCTGGAAGTACAAAGGAAGTGTGTTGTGCTACAGATTGCAACTTGGGACACTTGAGATATTTTCTCCTCAACTAAATCTTTTTTAACAATATTTTTTCGTAATTAGTCAAATTAAATGTTTAGGCTAAAATACAGTAGAAACAGAAGGACATGGTTGGTTTAACAAAATTTGAAACTTATAAAAACGATTAAATACCTTCAATTAACTCTGAAATAAGAAATCCAACCATAAGAAGAAAGTTGGTTCAGTAAGTTTATCAGCTAACGGGACGGAAGATATGGCTATGGTGTAAGCACGTTTATAACACCCCTACCAAATTTGCTTGTATTTGACACCTTGCTTTACATAAAGCCTGGAGGATCTCTTTAGGAAAACAGACTCAGGCCAAAAACACACTTTTATCCATAACCTACAGATAAAACTTATTCTTTGTAATAAGAAAGTAAAAAATGAAGAGTAAAAAATATACTCATAAAGTATCATGTAGCAACAAAGTAGAAAAATATGATATAGGAAGTTCTACTGGACAATGCAAACCATGTTTTAATACAAAGTAACATGAAGCAGAACGATACCTTTTCTGCCAGGCTTCATTTCACCTTCTTGATCCATCCAATATTCTCTAATATCAATTAAGACTTTTCCTTTAAAGTCCCGAACACTGACATACCTCATTTTGCCAATCTGTCAAAACACATATAATGGTCTATTAGGTATTTTACATATTAGAGCATTCACTTTCCCCAGTAGCATTAGATTCTTGACATGTGACACTGCAGCTTATTTTAGACACCACAGAAACAACTAGATTAAAAGCTTAATTCAGAGTAGTCAGTAGGCTAATAAGTAACGACTTAAAACTGATTGAGCAGGCAATGCTCAATGCAAAAGCAGCTCTCCTAGAATAAAAATACCTGTATTCTTTACATGCTTCCATCTAGCAAGTCATAAACTTACTGTTTTCTGACAAAAAAAGATTTCCTTTCTTTGCAACAGTTCTAACCAAAGGAGGAAAAAGGGAACACTTCTCCCAAAACTAAACTTTAGTCCATTCCACAAGTACAGAAAGCAAATTAGATGTTCATGTGGGATACCTTCCCCCTTTTTTTTTTAACACAGTAATTACAGATGGAAGTGAAGCTAGCCACCACCAACTGTCCCATGCGCACTCCCAAGTCCTCACTGGTACCTCAAAGGTAGGTCTTCAAAAAAACCAGTCAAATATTTTAAGTTTACCAGCATGTAGCACAGTACAAAATTTTGGAACTTGGATTTTGGAATTCAGTAATTTTCAGTGTCGTAATTGAATTACAAGGACATCTCTTTTTTTCAGGGGTGGAGTGGGCAGAAGCTGGGGAAGAATCATACTACCAACTATGCATACTACCAACTACACTACATGTTTGGGCTTACTTAATATCTTTCCAAATAAGATAAAAAAAACTATCTATTCAAATGAATTCCAAGTACAGGGTTGAATTTGAGAACCAAAAACTAGATAATTAAAATACGATAAAAAACAACTTTCTTGCAATTCTAAGAAATCCCTTGAATTCTGCATGTACTTCCTGTATACACTTCATATAACAAAAGAATAGATTCTAAAGTAAATAATTTTTAAATAAAATATTCCTTCCTGGTAAAGCACTACCCTTCAACTTCTTTTATCTCTGCATGTTGTATTTTGATACAATTTAAAGATGGGCCCTACACTTCTGGCCCAAAACCACTAGGTTTAAGTTTGACAAAAAAGAATTAAGAACTCCAATCAACAAGAATAATTCACAGATGTTTAAGTCATATACTCTCATTTCACAACATAGATAGAAACATAAATACATTATCTTTGCTTAAACGAATTTTTCTTCTTCTGCAGATTCTATATGACATCGAAAATTGATTTTAACACAATTAGGACTTTTTAGATAACGTAAGTCTGAAGCACTTCTCCTACTTCAAAGCATCCTTTAAAATTAAGAAGACATTACTGTTCATAAGACAGTTTTTAATTGATAATTACAATACAAATTTAAATACAAATACCATACAAATTTAAAACTCAAAAATAAAAGTATAATGTTATGGCAGCTTAGATCTTTCAGATCAAACCCGGTACCATGCCCAAGTCCATCTGCACTCCTGGCAAAATATATCCTAAATAGCCTACATGGAAAACATTTCTTGGTTTTACCCTTTAACGCTCCAGTAACTTTTAAGGTCACCTCCAGGAACAGCTTCAATCAGGAGCACTCTGCAGCACCATTTTTTTCCATGGCTACTGAAGTATATTAGTACCTTGCCAAATAATTCCTGATTAGTTTTAAGAAATAAAATCTAATTCAATATAGCAGATTACAGCTGCAAATACAGTAAAAATGTTTAGAATGTGATTATCAAGGATAAGAAAAGACTGCATCTCTTAATCCAACTACAATAAGGTAAGGGGCAGTAACACAAACTTCACATTCATTTGATCATAAAGTCTGCCTTAGATAAAAGTATTTCTCTATGTAAATGATGAAATTAGATTTCACATCACATCTGGATTTCACATGAATGTTGCCATTAAATTTCAGATATTTAGTTGAACTCTATATAAAAGTTGCCACTACTAAAATTTTTAAATACTTAACTAGTTACATAAATTTATGTCCTTTGATACTTATCTACCTGTAACTCTCATACAAGTTCATTTCTGAACAATAATTCTTCATGCACCTGCTGATAACATTAATTTCAATGATTGAAGGTATTTTTGTATCTCTATAACCAGAGCAGCATTCCAAGGATTGCTGTACTGGGAGGAATTAGTTTTCTTCACGTTGGCTGATATGGGGCTGTGTTCTGGCTTTGATGTTTTAGTTACTGCTGAGCAGAGCTTACACAGAGCCAAGGCCTTTCCTGCTTCTCACACTGCCACGCTGGCAGGGAAGCTGGGGGTGCTTGGGAGACCGGGAGGAGACACAGCCAGGAGAGGTGACCCCAAGTGACCAAAGGGCCATTCCAGACCCTGTGACATCTTGTTCAGGATATAAAGTGCAGGGAAGAAGAGGGAAGGGGACATGTATGGCGTAATGACATTTGTCTTCCCAAGTGACACTTGGATGTGATGGGCACTGCTCTCCTGGACATGGCTGAACTCCTGCCTGCCCACTGGAAGTGATGAATTAACTCCTTGTTTTGTGTGGCTTTTGCATTCCCTACGAAAATGTCTTTCAGTTTTCCAGCTTTTACCCTTCCAATTGCCCTCACTGGTGGGGGTGTGAGCGAGCGGCTGCCTGGGGCTTGGTTGCTAGCTGGGGTTAAACCAAGATAGTCGTCATGATTTATAGGAAAGTACCCAGTGCAGTTCAACCTTCACAGAGAAGTTCATATACTTTTTATTAAATAGTAGAGATCCTTAGATTACACTACTCTATTGTAGTATTGTCGTTCCGATTGGGAACAGCTATAAAGAACGACATGGACTCTCAAGGGAGTTTCAACACGAGAATTCTCTGGTTTATTACTTCAGGCCTGTTTTTATAGACTGGTACGTGGAAGGTACAGAAAAGAAACTCCTATTGGTTAACAAAGTGCTACATCACCATCATTGGTCAGAGGGGCTCATCACCCCCCTGACCTCCTCCTGCAAGGAAAACAAAGACTGCAAGACAACACCTGCAAGGCTGTTTAGTGTCCCTGAGAATTGTTTTAATTCCTTCTCATATTTTTCCCAGGCTACTTTCTCAGGCAGCCTGAGGAGCCATGCGGCCTGCAATCTGTACAGGCACTGTGGCTCAGATTTAGCATCCATATAGTATAATAAATCAGTAAACATTAAAACCATTATTTCCAGGTTTCTGTTTCTTAGAATAAAAAGCACTGAACTGTATCTCTGTTCCATTCTGAGATAAGCAACTAAATTCCTGTGTGAGTTTCAGCAACTTTTTCATCCTTTTTCTATTTCCAGTTTTTCTGGATTAAACTGTGCACTCACAGAGCAAGCATAAATAGCAAAAAAAACTCTCTTCCCTAGCCAATAACCATATGTAAGGAGGACAAGACTCCTGTAAACAGTGACATCTGCAACAAAGCAAATTGTGAAATGCATCAGTGACCACCTAAGTTTCATAATTAGTGTGCTAAACCAATCACAGTTTCAGGAATCATGAATTTCTATGTTTACCTTCTTTCAGGAGCCTATGATAACGACATTGAGAAATTAAACTGGAAAAATCAAAGAACTTACTTCTCACAAGCCAAAACCCAAATATGAAAACTCAAAAAAGCAAACAAACAAATAAACAAGAAAAAAAAAAAACCACACCCCAAACTTTGGGAGTTGGACAGAACAACACAGAGACAACTTCTGAAGTAGCAATTTTAGTTAAATGCATGATCATGCAGTGTGGTTCTGCTCTGGGTAGTCATTAATGAATCCTGACAAACCTTATCCAAATCAGGCATAGGTAGATGATAGGATTAGTCAAACCAACCAAAGCACATGGTGCAGAGCTCAGTCTGGCTTGAAGCCACAGACAGGAATCTACTGCATCAAGGCTAAACCCTTTCACATTGACACAAGTAATGCCTATCCTTAGGGCCTCAAGTAATACATCACACATGGGAGTAACAAATTTCTGCAACCTAGCAGCATACAAATCCTTCAAGCTGCAGTGTATACTAGGTTCCCTATAAAACCTAATAAGGCCAAGACATGCAAATACATAAAATACAACTTGTCTCTTACATAAAACAAAAATGTTCTACTTACATTAACACTTTTCTTTGCAAGCAGTTGCAAAAAAAATTACACCAACAACCTCAAACAAAAATACAAAAAATGTAGATTTTTATGAAAATGATGAACCTTCTGAATACAGCAGTCACAATGAGCTCTATATTAAGGGAATCTGTATGCTTCAAGAACACAGCCTGAGGGTGTAGAACAAGAAGACTCTTGGTTCCACATTATTTGCAGCCACTCCCACACACAATATGGACACCATAGAACTTGTGACTATCCTATGAATGCTTTACAGCCTAATTTTCATCAGCTGAAGCCACTCTTGTAAAGCTATACTGCAAAGTCACTTCCACATCAGAGATCATTTTACTGCCCTGAGAGAGAAACTCTCCTGAAAGGTTTACAGTATCACCAAAAGGCCTAGAACAAAACTACATCTAAAAAATTAACGAGCACACCCTCCTGGGTAGGGGGGAAAAAGGGGGAGTGTCCTCAGACCTACTGTGGTTGTATTTCTATACTGCAACATTTGCACATTAGTTACTGCACAGAAGTTAAGGCAGACTACAAAAACTGACAGTGCTTCACCATAACACAGTGAGTGATCTAAAAAATATTTCATTGTTGATTACTTCAAAGGCAGGCACAGACTGGGTAACATTGATATTTTAGGTCAAGGTGACAGTCAAAGATCCTTATGCTACTCAACACCAGAAAAACCCTGTTCTTGTCAGAGTAATATGAATCCTCTACTGTCTGTTTTTAGTAATTTCTTATTATCTTAGGTCAAAGCGGTTTCAAGAAACCAGATCATGCATACTTTCACTTTTATTTGAAAGGTTCTGGGTGTGTTTCCGCATCAGGGGAACACTAAAACTTTTAGTTTTCTCCAAGGCTGGAATTTCTGAACTTAGTACAACCATAGCAACTGGAATTTATGAACTTACTACAAACATAGCATTAAGTTTATACATAGCTCTTTAGAATTCCACCTGCAGTTCATGTCATAAGTTGTAGAATTCACTATTTCATTCTTCCTACATGGTTCAAAGCATGCCCAAGCAGAACTAAAAATACTATACACTTCCTTCAATACAGAAGTTCAGCATCAGACTTCAAATGAAGCTCACCCTCCTAAACATAATTGGAAAAATAAGAATTCAGGCATTAAAAGTAACTGCCACATTATCACAGTATCAGTTAAGCAGGTCTTCTCTCTAGAACAGACTTTTCCTCCCCTGTATTACTCCACATGGCTACAGCCCAGAACCATTTCATTTACATCACTCTGTGCTTGGGTCACCTCATTAGGCACCTTTCCCATACCCTTTCACTAACCTGAGAATCAAAGCCTCAAGAATTTAAGTTCCTTTCCAGACAGCTAGTCAGAGACATTTAAAAGATCTTGATTCACATTCCCAAAACAGCTAATTCTGAGCTGTATAACAGCTCTCTCACACACTGCTACTGCCTTGGCTAACCCTCGAACTGCAATACCCTGAATTCACAAATGCATCTTTCTATTTAAAAATAGACATTCATCCCATCTTAAAAACAGGGCAATACCACAAGTTACTATCTTTATGGATGTTCAGTAATCAGACCCTACATCATAACATAAAGGAACAAACAAAATTTATTCCAATATGCTGACATAACACAGGAGGCCAAGCTGCCCTTGACCTAGTTAAATAGGAACGAAGAGTCCAGACTTTGGTGTCCAAGAACATTTTTTTTCAAGAGCCCTAATTAAAAAAACATTTCCATGTAGAGACAAACCCAATCTAGTATTTAACATATACTGATGGTAAGTGCTGTATTTACTGGCAAAATGACTACCCAGAGCTAGCAGGAGCAAAGTCATGAGAATGAGATCAATTGATACAACTCAGATTCTTTTACCCTGATGAAACCCAACCATGCTTTTCTGAGCATCTTATCTGAATGCCAGCATAGTAATCCTCTGAGGCCAAGGATTCAGGAGGCCAAGCACTAGACTGTCAAGAAGTTCGTATCACCTCATAAAATCTATACAACTTATGATGTAATGTCACTTTAAATCAGGCTCTACAAGTCATCAGTTTTACCTGAAACATATTCTCATCTCTGTTACTGCTTTGCTTAGAAGAAGCTGCACCTTTTGAACTTTCACCAGTCTTTTGTTTCTTGACAGGTTTTTCTGGAGTTACTTGCTTTTTCCGCTTTGCCTTGGAGCAAAACAAAAAAAGAAAAGCATGAGCCACAATCCTTCTGTATGCTACAGATAAGTTTACATGGTATGTCACAGCCTACTACCAAGCAATGCACTTTATCACCTTCTTGCTGTGAAGGCAGGAATCCAATACTGTACATTTAGACTGGAATTTTAAAACTCAAAAATGAGCCTAATTCTGTTCTCATTAAAGTAATACATTGGTTTTAAGGAGAATTTTATCCCATCAAAATACATTTCAAAAATCCTTCTCTTTCTGCACAGTAACACTGTCAGTTCAGTAATTTTAATAAAAAATTTAAGTCTGATGGAAATGGTACCCTCTTCTCCACTGAACAGAACAAAAGGTACAGAACAGCTTACTACACCTCACAAAAAAAAAACCCAAAAAAACAACATAGCTAATGTAACGAATAAAGAATTTGGAAACCATATCTATTAGACCATTGTATTTTTTAAATAAGCATCTAATCACTTCCCACAGCATGACAAATTATGAGACTTTTTAAAGCATTCAGACAGTATCACCTGTAAATCAGATTACCCAGGGAAGCTACAAAGTTACTATTTCTACTCAAGTGAAAATAGGAGACCAGACCTCTTCATGTACTGTACTACATTAAAAGACCTGGTGTGTGTGTGTTACCACCTAGCATTTCTTAAAAAAGATAAATTAACTAGTTTTTTTCTGATTTTGTTCAAAATGACTGGTACAGCTATACAAACTTCAACTTGAATAACTATTTAAATTAAATGGGAACATTTGATTTATACATTAAAACAGCTATCTTAAAATTTATCAATTCAAAGACAATCAGGTTGGCTCAGCTTTTAAGTGAGAAACTAGCAGACAGTTTAACACCAAATAAAAGAAAATGAAAAACAGAAAAAATTCCATGCAAACAAGATAAGCAAATGATACAAGGAGCATCGGGCAAGTGTAGATTTTTGCTATGGAGAAGTAATTAGATACTAAAATGTCAGCGGGTGGCTGTAGGCATGTTCTCAAGTCCAAATTCTTGCTACCAGGGCAGTTGATATAGAAGCCTTCAGAAGCTTGCCACAAAGCAGCAAAGAATCACAGGGAATTTGTGATTATCATATGGAATGGCATAAAGAAAACAAAGATCAACTAAAGAAAAAAGCTTCCTTCAGGGCAAAAATTATGCAATGCACCCACAGTTGGAAGGTGGGTTGTTTGGTTTTTGTTGTTGTAGTTGTTGAGATGGGTGGGTGGAAGAGAAAGTTTCTTAAAGTGTCTGATAAATCATACAGAATGACATGCATGTTGTGACATAAAGCTCCCCTAATCCCTTAACCCGAGCCTGAAACCGAAAAGTTAATACAGTAATAAACTGCATATATTGTTCACCTTTTTGTCAACTTCACTATCTGAATCACTGGCAGATGAGCTTGAAGATACAAGTTCCTTTGATTTAGGCATTCTGGGAAAAGAAAAATAACATGATAACACTGTATAAGGAATGACATTCCATTTTGGCTCGAAAGCAATCTTCAAACCTGTTTGTACTGGCTCATCTTCTTTAAGCCCTCCTAAATATTTTCCTGCCTTTTCATTTAAGCTTTAATACACACTGCAGATGCAATATCAAGCACTCTTCCATCTTATATCTCCTCCTCTTTTTGCTGCAAGTGCATTAAAACACATTTAGACCACATTAAATGCAGTGATTTGGCTTCTGAACTGTCTACAGCAGAATGATTTTTCACAATTTTCATATAAGCCTAGACATGGCAAAACCCACAATGTAAAATACACAATATAATACTGCCCTCCAGCTGAATCCTTTCTACTACATCCACAAATATTAATTATTAACACTCTAGCAATATCTGTATTATATCTGCAATATCTGACATGGGCATTTCGCCCAGATGGATTTGCAAGCAAAATGCTGCACAGTTGTCACACAGGTGACACTTGAGCTCTCGCCTATAATCTAACAGTCTGAAATACACGTCAGTTACAGAGAACTACAGCACTGCAATTAATATTTTCACTGCAACTTCAAAACATCAGTCACTGGTGACTATTAACTTGCTAGACAAGCGGACATTCAGCATTCCTTGAATGCGTGCTGCCAGGTGTCCTTGCACATCACCCTGGTATGCAAACATGTGGTTAGATATAGCGGTTACACATCTTCCCTACTTGCTAGAAACTCTCTGTAACAAATACACAGCTCATTTGTTCTTTCAGAATAAAATTAAGCATCGCTGAAACTGTATAATACAAACCTTAGCTAGGAAAGGCCAAAATATTACAGAGTATCTTAGGAAAGAAAAAAGGAGTAACAGCATTCTTAAACGGACAGTGAAAAAAACCCTACATGTGCAAATTTAAAAAAAAAAAAAAACAAAGCAAACCAACAAAACGAAACAACCAAACCAGAGTCCAAATAATGCTAATGGATCAATGTGGTTCTAAAGTAGGGCAAAACCTGTGGTAATAGCTTGTAGCACAAGGTCGGAAGCTGCAGCACTGCACAGGATACAGGGTGTGAGGAAGCACACACAAGCCACGCTCTAGGATGGAGGTAGAGGTGCACTGGAATGGGACAATGTGAAAATAAGCAAACGGATGACAGTGAGTCGGTGAGCCAACGGTTTTTCGGGGGATGACCCTGGGGTCCGCATGTAAAGAATAAAGGGACAATATGGAGGAAGGTATGGGCGGAAACTGGAGGAAATGGGTACGTGGGGTGGTGGATGCCCCCCGGGGAGAGCTGAGCGTGAGGAGACACCGCAGCGCCGGCGAAGGGGACGGGATAAGCCGGGCCAAGGGAAAACGGAGAAAGGTAAGACGAGCCGGGAACTCCAGGTAGGCGTATCCCAGCCGCCATTTTCCTCCCCTATTCCTCTTTTCCACGGCTCGTGTCGCCCCCCGAGGAAGAGTCGAGACCCGAAGAAGGATGGGGGCGAGAGGGTGGGCGGCCAAGAACGCCCAAGACTTCCCAGGGCAAGGTGGCAGTGAATGGACTGCGGGTTACCCGTGGGGGGGCGGAGGAAAAGGACAGCAAGGAAACGAGCGGGGCAGGGGTCGCCGGCGGGCCGGGTATGCTCCCGGCGCGGGGGGGACCGCGGCCGGGCGCCATCTTCTCCCTCTACCAGACTGTGCCCCCCAACATGGCAGCTCCCCCTCGGCAGCGGTGGCTCGGTCTTCCCGCTCCACAGCGGGGTATCCCTCCCGCTGGGCACCGCGGGCACTCGAGGAACAAGGGGAAGTATCGCCTCGGCGCCACCCGGCCGCGGCTGCTCCGATAGGGCCGGGAGGTGCAGCACCGGGGTCCGTGGGAAGGGGCGCGCGGGAGAAAATGGCGGCGTGACGGGGGCGCGCGAGGGGACCCAACACTCACGTCCTGCTCCGCGCGTGGCTCCTCCGCAGCGCAGCACAGGCGGAACTGACGCGGCTCGGAACGCCCGCCCCGGGCTGCTCACGTGAGGCGGCGGGGGGCGGCTTTAAAGGGGACGCGGCCCTTTGTCCCTGTCGTCGCTCGTTCCCGCCTCCCGAGGGGCGGGGGAGGGGTCATAGTACTGGAAAGGAGATTATACAGAATCACAGAAAATCCCAAATTGGCAGAGACCCACCGAGGATATCGAGTCGATCTCCTGGCCCTGCACAGGACACTCTAAGAGTCGAACCTTGTGCCTGACAGCGTTGTCCGAACACTTCTTGGTGCTGTGACTACCTCCCTGGGAAGCCCGTTTTAGTGCCGAACCACAGTGAACTTCTCAGTGAAAAACCTCTTCCTGGTATCCAACCTAAACCTCCCCTGACTCGCCATCGAATCCTCTCACTGGCCACGAGAGTAAAGAGATGGGTACCTGCCTCTCCGCTTCCCCTCGTGAGGGAGCTGTAGACTGCGACGGACATTAGGAAGAATTTTTTCACGGGAACGATTAGACATTGCAGTGGTCTTCCCGGGAGGGTGGTGGAGTCACTGCACCCGGAGATGTTTAAGGAAAGACTGGACATCGCACAGGGTCAGGTTGACGTGGTGGTGTTGAGTTTTAAATTGGACTCGGTGGTCTCAATGGTCTTTCTTTTCTAAATTGATTCTGTCGTAATCTGGAGTATCCCCTCAGTCTTCTCCAGGCTGAAAAAAAAACCCAAGCAAACCTAAAAAGACCCAAACAAACAAACAAAACCAAAATGCACACACACAAAAAAAGCCCTACAATAATTCATAAATAGCAGGGATTTTTCACGCTGCAGGGATTCCTCGATGCCGCTCCGAGCCGCCCGAGCAGCGGCGTGAGTCGGGGTGAGGCCGCGGCCGCTTTGCATAGCGAAACCACGGCCCCGCCACACCTGGGGCGCCGCTCGGGAACCCTTCCTGATGGTTCCCCTCCTGATGGTTCCCCTTCTGCCACCGGATCCCCCTTCTGCCACCGGATCCCCCTTCTGCCATCCGTGCCCCGGGTTTCCATCTCTACAGCTGGGGACAAGGGAGCATCAGGGCACCCATTCGGGCAGGCAGCGCGGGGCTGAAGCACCGGGGATGAAAGCTTAAAGCTATCTCAGCGCCTCTTTTACACACCAGCATTTTAAGAGGTGTCCAAGAAAATAACCTTGAAAACACACTGACAGTGTTGCTTTTTTTCTGTAGCGTGTTCACACGGTGATGCATCCCGGGCACCCTGCTGAGGAGGGCTTGACACAGCTTAGTTCGCCTAAATGAGTTCTGCTTCTGAGACACACCGAAGTGGAAGGGAGGTGAGGAAAGGGCCCTGTGCCCTCAGTAAGAAGCGATTTTTAACAGACTTTTCGGACTGTGATAGGCCAGGCATGCTGTCAGACCACGAAGTGGCTTCATGTCGTGTCTTTTGTGTTACTTGTTTGAGCCTTTAAGTTTATTATGAATGTAATTTTATGAGTATATAATGAATATAATGAATTTAATGTTATTGCTAACATTAAAATAGGGTCATGATTCACATGAAACTAATGCAGCTTGCTCCTATTTGCTGATGACTTTGCAGCAATGGGCCACGTAATTGTGTTGTGAGCAATTACAATTCGTCAGACACCCAGTACCAGTTAAGTCCTTTTCTCATTCTTACTAACTCCAGACTTACGCTTTTGCTTACACGTGAGTGTAAACTTTCTGTAAAAAGTGCAAACAAACTATAAAAAAATAGGAAGTGGACTGTGATCCCAGTCCTAGCTTTCAGATAAAGTTGGTGTACAGGCTGAGTGATCAGCCTCCATAGTTTCAGTAACAAACACCAAATAATAAAGTGTTGAAAAGCAAAAGTCTTTGGCTTTTTTTTTCTTTTTTAAATTGCAAAGATCTCTGTTTATTAAAATGGCCCAGGAAGACAAACATGTTTCAAGAGGGAATAATCCCCCAAAATCAGCATGAGCAGCTGCAAGTTCTAAGCAGGGTTTCTGAAGAAGTACTTAAAGGAGGTGGACAAAGAGGCTTTTTAGAGGGGGTCCATGAAGTTCTTAGAGCCCTCATCATGAAGTAAATTGGCTTTTGCTATGAGAAGTGGCTATCACTTCCTCACTTTAATAGCAGGAAAACAAGAAGGAAATACCAGAAATAGGAACTGTGCTCATCTAAATAATCCTTGGTAACTTGCAGTTTCACAATGTCATCTAGGTCACAAAATAAAAGGAGAAATAGAAAAATATACAATTCTTACTGCATCTCTGACCTTTGGAAGATAAAAATATGATTGTTTAAACAAACAGGAGGCAAAGCACAGTAAATGATATGCAAGCAATATAGTAATTTACACCACTGCACCAACACCTGGCTTGTCAAGCATGTAATTGTGGAAGATGAACAGATTATATTGTAATACTTAATATTTAACTCCAACAACAAGATCATCTCCATATACGTACTATTAATTTGTAAAAAACCATAGTTATTCTTTTCAACTAACTTCCACTAATTTTTCATCTTAGAAGCATAATGAGAGTTCAGGTATTTGTAATTCCTATATGCTTTGTTTTTTTACAGGGCAACACTTGGTACACAAAGAATGTTCAGGTTTTAATCAAATCATCAAGGAATTGTTTATTCAAATCAACAGTTCTTTTGCATTTTTAATCAATTCTTTCAGTCTTGACATAAATCAAATTGACCGAAAGAAACATTTTCTGCTGGCTCTTAAGGAGTTAATTTCTTCCACCTGCAGTATTTCCTCTAAAGCAAGCACCGAGTTTATTTTTACAGCTAAATTCCTAAATAGCAGGTCAGTGAGGGGAAGGGAAGGTTTGCTGCAACTGGGATTTCATATTCTGCTTTTCAGGAATGATACATTTCTTTGAGAAATACTCTGATCATTGAGTGTAGTGGCGGTTTGAGTTTTTGTCGAATTACCTTCACTGTATTTCATCGTATTTGGAAAAGAAGAAAGAAGCTACTAAAAAAAAAAAAATGCTGGCTTTAGAACAGTGGGAAAGGAGCCATAATTTTTCCAAGGTAAACCTCTGCTGTTACCTTCTGAGTGAGTCATCTATCCCCCCTAGGGGTATAGTTCACTTTTTGAGCTCTTAAAATAGACTTTTGTAATGGGTTTGTTCCTTCATCAGATACTTTCCTTCTGTAGCTGCCTTAAAAGGGCTTAAATTCTTCTAGTTACTGCCTGATTGCCTCATTTCATATCCCACATGTGTTCGGCAGAGGAGAATGTTGAAGCATTAGTTTTTCTTCAGTAACAGATTTTAGCATGCAGATTTAAATGGGAATGCTGAAAAAATACACACTTGCACTTCTGATTACATAGCAATTACTAACTGCAAAGGATGACTTCTCTGGTTAGAAATAGTAGAGCTAGCAAGAAAACCATTTTGGGGCAAACCTAAAGTGGGACAGCTTTCAAAGCTTTGGTATTAGCGCTTACTAGTTTAAAAGGTGGAAGGCGAAATCTGATGTTGTGAAATGGGAGGTTAGCTATCATATTGACAGTAGTTTTATTAAAGTGTCAGGAAAAAAAGAGTAAGAGATGCTACCAAACAGTGTTTGTGGAACTGGAACTGGTTTGTTTCTCATGTGTATCATGTAATTTAAGTTTGCATCAATACTTGCATAATTTTTATTATGTTTAGGAAGTGGGGGTTTTTGTGTTGCAATTTAGTAACCTAAACAGTAATAACTTCCATCTGTGGTTTTATAAATTGCTTTTATAGGTTTTAATATGTCTGTTGTTATGGTCACTCTACAATATCTAAACTCTGTTGTTAACTTTTTTGCTTTAATAATTCGAAAATGTGGGGTCTTTTTCTTTACTGCTTAAAAAATGTAATTTCACTTTACAATAAGAAGGTTGATAAACTGAAAAATGTCTTGTGTTTCTAGCTATCGAAAATAATTTCCAGGTGAGAAGATAGCACTGGTCTCCATATGCTGATTGTAAATCTCTTTCTAACTAGAGCATTTACATAGAGAGCACTAAGTATTAAATTACCTTTTCAGGAAATAAAAGCAGCTTTTGTTAACATGGTCTGTGCTGTCTTGGAAAGCTTTCACCTTCTGCTGCGTGGCCCTGCCCTCTGGTGGGCACGCAAAGGCTGGCTGAGAGCCTGCTTTTACGTAAACTGGAAAGTTGTCTCCAAGAAATCTTACCTAATCTTACTTGAAAATCTTGAGATGTAAAAGCGTTTAGTTTTCCCCATTGTGTTTCAGTCGCAGTTTTGCAGTCTTGTGGCAACGGCAGAGATACTATCACATGCGTCTTCAGACGTTAAAGTAAAATAGTAGGATTGATGAGACTTGCATGTTATTACGGTGCTTTCTTCTTCTCATACGGTTGAAATGAAGGTCAAAAATGTGTTTTCCTGAATGCTAGTTTGCTTGCCATTTTTGTCTGTGATATTTTTAGATACTTTGAACTTTGCACAGACAGAGTATCTGTTGTATTTAATTCCAAGTTAAAGATTCATGTTCCAACATATGTTTTCATTCTGGAACTTCTTGGATGGTCTTCTGTAATCTTATTACAATCAGGGAGAGAGAAGTTTCTTTATCCTATTCAAGAAATAACTTTTCCATATTTCACTAAAGCTTTTCTATCTTTCTCCCTGTGCCACCACTTGCACTTTATCACTCCATGTATATTCCTTGCAGTTAAAGATTTAGAAATCAGTAAATGTCAAAAAGCCTTTAAAGATCTAATTTGAATTTATTACTGCTTAATTTTGAAGCAATATGATACATGTCTTAAGGAGATAGAATCTTGTTTCATAATCCACTGAGGTTTTTTAAGTATGGACCATGAATCTGATCCTGCAAGCTAGTAGTAGCATAAATAGATGTTATGTAATGGTTCACAAAGTCACCAGGAAGCATCAGGTTCTTATTAAGAAACTGCTGAGAGAAAGACTTGTATAATACTAGTGGGTTTATTTTTTTTTTCCAAGGAGAAAGGGAACTTTGGTTTTTAATATTTTTTGGTCACATTTAGAAAGTATGACTTTTCATAAAATGTGTTGTAGTTCTTTAAAAGTGACATATGCACTAAAACTCAAAATGCAAAATTCACACAGGAAAGTAATCTGAAACTTCCTCTGAAATTGCACCTGACTTGGGCTGCCAGATGGGAGCTTATGCTCAGAAATATGCAGGGCTGAAATCACAACATACAGGGTGTAGTATTTGAATTATAACTACTAGAATTTACTTGGATGAAGAAAAGCTATGAAACTGAAGTCAAAATCTCAGTTGTGAGTAAGAAAGCCTTGGGGTTTTCTGGTGTGAGCTTTGTTTGTTTGTTTGTTTTGTTTGGTTTGGTTGTTGGTTTTTTTCGTGGAGACAAAGTTGAAAAGAGGGTAAATATTCCAAGTTTATTTTGAACATTATAATATAATACATATCAATAGTAGTATATATTAATAATGTAGATATATATCCATGGAGAGAGTCCACAGGAGGATCACTGAATTGATCAGAGGATGGAGCACCACTGCTATGAGGAAAAGGATGAGAAAATTTGGTTTATTCACCAGGGAGAAGGGAAGGCTTTGGGGCTTCCAGTATCCAAAGGGAGGCTACAGAAATGATGGAGAGAGACTGTTTTACAAGAGCCTAGAGTGACAGGACAAGGGGGAATGGCTTCAAAGTGAAAGGCAGTAGGTTTACCTTAGATATTAGGAAGACATTCTTTACTGTGAGGGTGGTGAGACACTGGCAAAGATTGCCCAGAGAAGCTATTTGTGTCCCATCCTTGACAAAGTTCAGGGCAGGTAGGATGTGGCTCTGAGCAACCAGGACTAGTGAAAAGTGTCCCTGTCCATGGCAGATGAGTTGGAATTTGATGTCTTTAAAGTCCCTTCCAACCCCAAGCCAATCTGATTCTGTCATTCTGTCAAGTTCACCTCATAAATGAATAGCAATGGCAAAAAATAGCTTTAGTGATGCAGTGATAAAAGGTATGTGAATGTCTGTGTGTGTGTCTATATATGCTTATATTTTTAACGAAACGTACTGAATATTGTCTATTTATCAGGGTATTGGAAGGCTTATAACTGAAGAAAATTGAAAGACAGTGGAACAGAAGAAACTTGTGTTGTCTTCCTGTCCAAGTATCATGATCCAATGGTCTAATTATGAACAATTTTTAATAAAAGTAAGGATATATAAATCATAAATCTATTTATAATTTGTGTATCCTGAGTCAATTGGGATTTTCATGTCAGTGGTAATATCCTCTAAGTTCTTCTACAGAAGGTCTGTAGAGTCTTCTCCTCAAGTACTGTCCCACAGAAATGTGGATTAAGGCTTTTCTTTCCTAGTCTATAGCAATTAAATATTCACCCAGTAGCCACTTTCTTCCCAGAAAAGCACTTTTGGTAGAACCAAGCATATTCCTTTTACTGTTGTGCTTGATTAAGATAAGAATGAACAGGAGGTACAGTAATATTCTGTTCCTATGCAAAATTAATAATAATGACCAGCAAATTACGTTCTGTGAATTGGGAAGGATGTTTGGCATCGGAAGTAGTTGTACTTCATATGCAGCTGCAATAATGTTAGCTATGAGATGAGAAATAGCTTTCTATGAGATGAGGAATAGCTTTCCTCTTCCCATTTTATGAACTATAATATCCTTGCAGTCCTACTGCCTAAAACCACAGCTACTGTGCAATATGGGAATCCCTGCTTTTGTGAGGACTGCAGGACATCCCAAGTATGTTTTGAATAGGCTTAGCTTACAGTAAACAAATACTTCTAAAATGATACTTTATACTTAATCCAGTGTTTATTAATCATTTTATATGTCTTGATTAGTTTATGAATAATGTACACTGTAGCACAGGCAAAATATATAAATGAGATAAAAGTATTTAGGCATTCAAGTTTTGATTTGGTCACAGTTTTGGGGGACATCTGATGCTGAGAGGGAAGGATTTGCCCGAAGGAGGGGCAGAGCCATGGGGAACACATGCTCATTTAGTGCCTTTGATCGGGAGGTCACTGCACTGGACGCAAGGCGCTGCTCAGCACGCTTCAGGAGTGATCTGATGGACTGCTGGCTTCTGGAAAAGTCACACTAATGGGCCGTGTGTGGGTGAGGCTGTACCAGCGTTGCACGTGCAGCAAGCACACAGGAACTATGGCGGGATTCTACACATAATACATACATATGTATGTCTGCGTCTGTGCATATGTTCCATAGGCGCCCCGAGCGCGGCTCCCCGTGCCCGGCCAGCAGGACTACAGCTCCCAGCTGCTCCCACGCACATCCCGCGCCTGCGCACACAGTTCCCGGGACGGAGGCGGCTCCCTGTTCCTTGTGCGAGAGCCTGGCCGCAACGGGACTACATCTCCCAGCGGCCCTCGCGCACATCCCGCGCCTGCGCAGGCGGAGCCGGCCCGGCCGCACTCCGCCGTTGTCGCCGTCGGTGGGTGGGTGGGGGAAGGGAGAGAGCGGGAGGAGGAGGAGGAGGAGGAGGGAGGGGGGGAGAGTTGAGAGTTCACCCGCCGCCGTCGCTGCCAGGCCGGACTCATGATTCCCATATGCCCGGTAGTTTCGTTCACCTATGGTGAGTAGCGGTGCTCGGCGTGTCCGTGCTTGGGGAGAGGGCGGCGGGCGGGGGTCGGTCCTGAGGCGCCCAGTCTGACCCGGCGCTCCCGCGCTCTCTCTCTCCCTTGTCCCTCTGTGTGTCCCGTTCTTTCCCCACTGCCTCCTCTCCCCGGGCCTCCTGTCATGGCCCCGGCCGCCGCCTCCCCTCTGTCGCCGCCGCCGCAGTGCCCAGCCGGCTGGGGGAAGATGCCAAAATGGCCACCGGCAACTACTTTGGATTCACCCACAGCGGGGCTGCTGCCCAGTACAGGTAAGCACCGCCGCGACCCCCCGGGACCCCCCCAGGGCCCTTCTCCCCGGCGGGGATCCCGGGCAACTCCCGCCCCTTGCCCCGTGCCGTGGGCTGTGCCCAGACCCTCCCGCCGTGCCTGCGGGTGTGTTCTCATCTCCGTGTGTGCTTGGGGGTGGAAGGTGGGGCTGGGCACCGCGGAGAAGGAGGAGAAGGATGATCAGCAACAGCATCGGGTCCCCAGGCCCTTAGATTAAAATGGCCACTTGCAGTCAGTCAGCAGCGCCGGCGAGTCACCGTGTGCCGCCCCCAGGCCCGTCTCCTGCCTCAGCTTCGGGGAACACAGGCCTTGCTCCCCAGCGCTTTGCTGTCAGTGTGGGAACACAGGGAATACCTTCTAACATGGCTTGGAAACTAATCTAAGGGAGGCTGGATGGATCGGGGAGAGATGGAGCACCGGAAAATAGCAGGGGACTTAATCCAGTTGAAGTAATGTTATGATTAATGTGTATAAGAGAATAGAGAAGGTACTTTCAGGGACAGGTAGCTTTTTAAAAAAATGTCCTACTCTGATTTCTAAGACCAGGAGCTCCAGTGGAACTTGAGGACCTGTGACTCTGTTAGTATACATACCTGTGTCTTATGTGTCTGGATTGATCTATGAGTAAAGATCTCTTATAGACACATTGCCACAAGTCTTTGTATCTTCGTAGTTTTTGTTCATCTAAATTGTGGCCAGAGTGTTAAAAAAGTAATTATTAGCATCTATTATATCACATTTTCTGACATCATGTTACTTAACTTGCTAAAATACAGTCAGAAACATCTTTGCAATTTTGACTTATACTGGAGTGACACCTTAAAGTCCATATTTGAATTTTATGTTGCTCATTCCGTAAATCTATAATAAAGGCTTTCCTCAATACTTAAGATGTAGTGAATAAGAAAAAGCTCAGGAGAATAAAGCAAATATATCAGACATGATTAACAATAGTAATGAATGCAGACGTATGCTACTAGCTAATAAAAATTGCATATGTAATGTAGTTTTAGGAATGTACACTTTTGTGGAGGTGTTGGAATAACTCCAAGTCTATTTTTTCTGTTGATTTTTCTCCTGAAAATGGGTGTGAAGTACATTAAACTTAATTTATTCTGGTATTTAATAGAGGATTAAATTTAGCTAATCTTCTAGTTCCTTTGGATGTTTGCAGTGTGTGTATGTGTCTACATTTTATGTGGCGGTTATAGTGAATATATAGGACATATATAGATAGAACTATATATGATAGAAATATATAGAACTTCCTTTTAAGTATAAAGGTTAAGTGAATAATAAACCAAGATCTGTATGTCTGCAGTTTTAAAGTGCAGTGAATTTTTAAAATCATCTTTTATTGAAGAGCTGAGATGATCTTTAGATTAAAGATCCTGAGCAATTCCTTTGAAGTTATATAATTGGAATAACATTCAAGTTTAATAGCTGATCCTAAGTGTGTTTTTGAGAAAATGGAAAACAGATCAAAAGTACATTTTTCCTTTGCTATCATAAGCTTAAGATACTGTTTAATTTGCTATCAGTTAAAGAGTGTACATTCTATAAACGGTTTGTGTGTTTACCACATCTGGAAGTGAAGACACACAGCAATTGGTGTTCAGGCAGTCCTTTCATAAGAAGGAATTTAATATTTTGAGATGAAAACACAAGAGTCACTTAAAACGTCTGAAGGGAGCTTAGTTTCACAAAGCCGTCTTGGTAGGTCCTTACTAGTGTGTTTACAGAGTGCTACAAATCATGTATTCCACTCCAGTGTATTTGAGAAAGAGATGGTGGTGGCAGGGGAAGATGGTAAGATTTGATATTACAACAAGTCTTTAAATTTGTTTCTGGTATTTGAAGTGACAGTTGATAGCATAAAAAAATCATGTTCTTGGAAACCAGGGCAATAGATAAACAAAAAAATGTTTTCCTACCTACTTAATACATAGGTGTGCCTCATAAATTTTGAAAAATAAAAGGTGTTTCTGGATGCTGAACTGACCTGTGGATTTTTTAGAAGTTGCTAGAAGTAACAAGGACTTAGGCTTAGAAGAACAGTTCACTTGCAGTTGAAGTCTTTAGTTCTTTATACATACACCATTTGGAAGTTCTGACCTGGTTGTTTTTATAGCAACAAATGGAAATTTTCATAATAAACACAATATTGGTCACATTTTTAAAGGTTCTCTCTTGCCAAAATGGCTATGAGGAATTCTGATATGTTGGAAGAATATTAGTCTGCAATTTTAGATGATCTCAGTGCTCTCTAATGATAATAATCAGAATTTTATTGATTTCAGCAGTTAGTTCAAAAGTTTATGCAATTCTTTTTAGTATACACACCTTTCTTATAATAACTTCAAGTGTGAATATCTCAAAATATGTTAAGTTTTCATCTGGAAATGTGAAGAAAAAATAAACCTAAACTTTGCATCAGAAAGAAGAGAGTCTAAGTAGATTCTGTTCAATTTCAATGAATAGAACAGACTCTTCCAATTGGAAAGGACCTACAGTGATTGTCCAGTCACCTCTCTGCCCACTTCAGGGCTGGCCAAGTTCCAGCACGTTGCTAAGGGCACTGTCCAAGTGCCTTGGAGCAATGACAGACTAGGGCATTGACTGCTTTTCTAGGAAGCTGTTCCAGTGCTTGACCACCCTCTCTTTATAGAAATGCCTCCTGATGACCAGTCAAAAGCTCTCCTGGTGCAGCTGTGAGCCACTCCCTCATGTCCTGTCCCTGGATTACAGGGAGGAGAGCTCAGCACCTGCCTGTGCCCTTCCCCTCTTCAGGAAGCTGCAGAGAGCACTGGGGTCACCCTTCAGCCAGCCTCCCTTTCTCCCAACTGGACAAGCCCAAATTCCTCAGCTGCTGCTCACAGGAAGTTCCTTCCAGCCCTCCCACCAGCTTTGTTTTCCTCCTCGGGACACTTTCAAAGACCTTCCCCTTCTCCTCCACCTGCAGGGCCCAGGTTGAATCTGCCCCAAGGCTGAGCCCAGCGGGACCATCCCCTCTCTGGGCTGGTTGTGCCGTGCTCGGTGCTCTGGGATGGGGTTTGTGCTCGGTGCTCTGGGATGGGGTTTGTCCTCGGTGCAGCCTGGGCACTGCTGAGCCACATTTGTGCTCGGT